GAAATAGCGGGCGAGCAGTGTTGATGCATGATTGCGCATGCACCGTGAGCGGTTCTGGTACTTTTTGGGTCGCAGCCGCTCGCTGTACGTGCGCTCTAAATCAGGACTAGACCAGTAAAGTGAAGCATGCTGTTGGCTGTTTATAATTTTCACAATGTCTGGTCAGCATATGATCCGAGTTCCGAGCCCGCACAGATGTTTATGTGTGTGTGTGTGTATGTATATATATATATATAATGTATGAAATCTCAAAAAGCAACAGGTAAATCATTGTTAGAAAGTCAATGTTTTAATTGTGTTTTTTTTTTTTTTTTTTTTTTTTTTTTTTGCAGTTGCAGAAAACCATTGCTGATGGTGGCCAACCAGCTACCAAAAAGGCAAAAATGTCCAACCAGAACATTGAGGACGCATTTACAAGTACTACAAAGTACAAGAGTGATGCCAAAGAACAACAAATTAAAGAAGAGGCTATCGCTACATGGATTGGATGTACAGGATTGCCGGTCACAACAGTAGAAGATGAGGATTTTATTCTGATGATGGAAAGTTTGGATAAGAAGTTTACTGTGCCAAAGAAAACCAAGATAAGTAATCTAATTGAAAAACACTATGAAAACAAAAAAGCTACATTTAAGAAAAGACTGTCTAGTGCCAGAAAAGTATGTATTGGGACTGATCTGTGGACTAAAAAGGGACTGACAGCATCATTCCTTGGCATAAGTTGCTGCTTTTTCTGTGTTGAACAACAAAAACCAGAACACTTACTGCTAGCTCTTGAACAACTTGACCATCCGCACACCGCCCAGTCCATTAAGGCTTGTGTGGAAAAGTGCATGCAAGAATGGGGGATCCTAAATGAGAAAGTTCTCACCGTAATAACAGACAATGGTAGCAATATGGTGGCAGCATTCAAACATAGTGCTCCAGAAGATGAAGATTCCAGCTCCGATGATCCAGATGCATCCATCCTAAGTGAAAGTGATTCCAAGGAGACAGAAAACCTGCAGTGTCAGGACATGGGCATGGACAGGATGCCATGTGTCGTCCATACGCTGCAGCTTGTTGTCCACATGATAAACAAGGAGGAAAGCATCAACAGAGTCTTGAACAAAGTCCGATCAATCGTGAAACTTTTTCGCAAGTCATCAGTCGCAACACAGAAGATTTTGGATGAGTGCGGCCTAACTGTTGTGAATGACTGCCCCACACGCTGGTCAAGTACTTATGAAATGGTTGCACGTCTCCTCAAAGTTAAAGAATCTGTTTGTGAAGTAGTAAACGAGATGGGATGGGACTGCTTGCTCTCAAGTGAGTGGCAGAAGCTGAAGTCAATGCAAGAACTTTTGCAGCCTTTTGCTGAACACACACAAACTCTTCAGAGTGACACAATGTCTATGTCATTAATACTCCCTGCTCTCTTTGATTTACTCAGCCATCTGGCAGATGTGGAACAAAACACAAGTCGAGATGTTGCTGCTCTAGCACGTAAAATGGAAGGGAATGTGAACCAGCGTTTTGCCTGTGTACTTGATCCCTCAGATGACAAGTTTTCCCCAATTGTAGCAGCTGCTTGCTTTCTCAATCCTACTGTGTGTCAGACCCTCCTCAATGTGGCTGATGACAACATTCAGGAGCTGCTCAAGCAGGCAGAAGGGTATGTTGTTCGGTGCTCTCAGACACAGGAGAACCACTCTGATCTGGAGGAACTGAATGGACCTGAACCGGCACCACCCGCCGCCGCCTCCTCTTCATCATCTGCCTCCTCCTCCTCCAGACAACCAGTCTTTAATTTTCTCTCCAAATTCGGAACAAAGCCTAAACCAAAATCTTCCAAGTGTAGTGTTAGACAGCAGATAAGCCAGTATAAGGAAGAGCTCTCACAGTCCATCACTTGTGAAACGGGAATGGAGTTTTGGCTTGGAAAATGTGACACATTTTATCACAGCCTGAAACCATTAGCATTAGATATATTGGCAATGCCAGCTTCTCAATCTTTTGCAGAAAGAGTGTTCAGTATCGCAGGTGACCTCACAAGAGGGAAACGCAACCGAGCAAAGGTCACACTAGCACGAAGTGCTTTTCTCAAAATGAATCGCAGCAAATAAATATTCACACTGTTTGGTTGAGCCTGTGTTGTAACAAGTGAATATCTACAGACTCAGGGTTAACATGTTTAAATTTGCTGTTCTTGTAAATTCTTGTTGTGCAATTGCTAAAAAGAGCACCTTTGTAATTTCCAGTGTGCTTTTTGTTTTTTTATTAAACACGTAAGTGTTAAACATGTGAAGTGTTTTTTTTATTCAATTATTCTATGTTCTTAGCTGTGTGTGCTATATCTGATCAGTGGTGGTTAAGAGTTTGGACCCTGTGTATTAAATTACACTAGTTTTTCCGTGCTCTATACAAAAGTAGGAAATTACTTCATTAGAAAAAATATATGCATTTTGTTGACTAAAATTGCTTATTTTTATCGACTAAAATTACTTGTTATTTTTGTCGACTAAAATGGGACTAAAACTAAAACAAATCCACTGACTAAAATTGGACTAAGACTAAAATTAATTTTTAGCCAAAAGACTAAGACTAAAATAAAATTAAAATTTCTTGTCAAAATTAACACTGCTTACAGGTAGGCAACAGGCTGAATGATTTGGTGTGTCTGGTCAGAAAACAGATATGATCAGATAACATTGAACAGTGTTCCTGGAAGAAACGATGACTAAGCCTTAATTAGTGATTTAGACTTCCTGAAATAGCCTGGGAAATGTCACGTGGACCGTAAGATCGGTGATGTGCATGGTGGGAACTGGAGTCTGGATGTTGGAGTGAGGGCAATGAAGGCTGGAATTGGAGTTAAGAGGCTGGATTGGGACTGAGGTGGGCGAGAACTGAGGAGATCAGAATAGGGTCATGACAGTTATCTACTCTGCTGTGATTTGTTGGGGTGCAGGCAGCTCTGAACAAGACAGAAAGAGCCTGAACAAGCTAGTTAAGAAAGCTAGTTCTGGGCTGCCCACTAGGTTCAATTGAGGACATGTGTGGTGGGAATATTACCTCCATCTTGGAAAAACTCTCCCACCCATTGCATTCCATGGTGGAGACCATGGACAGCTCCTTCAGAGGCAGACTGACATCTCAGATAGAAAACAGAACGCTACCATAGGTCATTCACCCCCTCTGCAGTAAGAGTGTAAAAGTCTTCAGTTTATCTGGTACTGGCATTATCCTGGTATACAATAACATCAGTGCAATACTCAGTACGCGTTCAATACTTGTGTAATACCTGATGTACATTAATATGTCTGTGTCCCTTATGCTGCATAGTTCTGGAAACCTTTTATTTGTTTATTTAGTGGTTGAAAGTTACAATAACAGTTTGCTGCAATTCATGTATTTACTTGTAATCTTGTCATTTTTCCGTGTATGTGCTGCCTTAACGAGTGAATTTCTCCACTGTGGGATTAATAAAGTGTAGTCTATTCCCTGGCTGAATGGTTCTGCACCAAGATCCTGAAGCTGTTAACTTGTACCGCATGGGCGGGCACAACCATGGGTTGTAGCAGGACATCACCCGGCAGAGGAGCTAAGGGAGAAGAGTCAAACATCAAGATCTCTTTGCCAACTGTCTGTTGAAAACGAACTTTGCAGTTTATTTGCAAGTCTTTTCCGGGGGGTAAGGGCAAGGGATTTGAACCTTGCCAAGTCACACAGCCAACCTGGTCATCTTGAGAGCCTAGGGTGATGGAGTCTGTGAATGTGGGTAGCGACTCCCTGTGAATTTGGATGCCCAGGCTTTTGGTTATGTCATGCCCCTCTTTTCTGCATTGCTGTACCAACTTGCGGACATGGCTAGTGTTAGTGCCAACAATGACAGGAATCTGCTCTTCTTTTGGGCTTGGACAGATCAGGGCAAGGACTGGTACTGTGTGTTTGGTGCCAGTCACTTTAGCCGGGTACTCAACATCTACCACAACATAGCCAAGGTAGGGGTAACTGACATTGGACTCACTTCAACCCCAAATGTTGAGACCAGTGACCGGATGCACTGGGATGGAAGGCAGATGGGCTTTGAACCAGGATTCAAATATTACAGTGACCTGTGATCCACTGTCAAATAAGGCATCACAGGGCTGTCCATTCACTTTAAGTGGCACAATACTTGGGGGCCCAATCAGTCCTACTGGAATTCCAGCTGGGGTGGGAGAAGTCAGAAGACCCTGCTTGACATGGCAGTCAGTGTCAGTGGCATTACTCGTTGAAGTAGCTGCACTTTCTTTCAGTGTCTAAAGTCTGGATGAGCTTTCGTATAACTTTGCTCTGATTTTCAGGATTTTGACACTTTGCAACAAAATGTCCATTTTCCCACAATGGTAACAGAACTGCTCCCCCAAAGGTGTTCTGTTCTGATAAGGGGTCCTTGTCTTTGAGTTAGCCTCTACTGCTGCCACGGTAGCTAGTTTTAAAGAGGAGTCTGGAGCAGTATCTCTTTGGGCTACTTTCTGCTGCAGTCTTTTCACTTGTTTCTTCAAAGCAGCCAGTTCTTTGGTGTCACTGTGCTCACTTGACTGCACTGAGGACAAATCTTTATCTATGACATCAGGGGCCTTAGTCATGAAGGTGGCTAACTTGGCCTTAAGCTCTTTAACTTCAGCTCTGAGACTTTGTATTTCTGTATTGCCAGTCCCTGAAGGTTTTGTCTGTACATGCTGGACTGAGGTATTTAGCTTTCTCCTTGAGGCCTCATACACTTCCTCTGTGCGAATCTCACTTAAGAGTTGGAGGAAAGTTGGGGGTTTGGACTTTCTCTCTCTCAGGCGCAGATTAATTAGCATGAGATCGGAAGCGACGGCCCCTCTCAGAAGTTGTTCTAGGCGCGCTTTGTCTTTGCTAGAAGCTTGAAATCCTCCTCTCTGGACAACTTTAGTGAGGGCCCTTTCCAGACGCCTCAGAAAATCAGACAGTTTTTCACTTGGTTGTTGCTGCATTAAGCGGAAAGCAAACTAGAGATCATCCCCAGACTCAGCACTGCCAAATGCGCTTTCCAAAGCCTCCAGGTATTCAACAGGGCCTGCCTCAGGGTCTGACTCACGGACTGATTTGGCAATCTCCAACGCTGGCCCCTTTAAACTTTCCATCAGCCTGCGCCTTCTCTCCTTGTCTGTACAGTCACTTTCCTCTACCATGAGCCATGCCTGCTCAAGCCAATGGTCAAAGGGGTCCTCACTAAGGGGAACTGGCAAGTTCCCTGAAAACAGCCTCAAACGCCGATAACCACCTTCTGCTTGTGGTTTACGTGCCTTCTCCAAAAAATCACCAACTGCTTGCAAGACAGACTCCGTGGAGTTTATGGAAGGATCAGAGCTGGGCTGCGGAGGAGGAGGGCTGAGAAATAATCTTTGTAGGTCTTCAATAGTCCTACCCTCAGTGTCTAAGAGACTCTTCAACTTCACAGCAAAATCATCAGGAGCGGCACATTCATTAAGAGTCACTATCGGCCATTTTTCACCAGTGTGCGGGTCCAGCACTTCCTTGGGCACATTATCTTTAGGTATACTTTGTTTGCACTTGCAGAGAACCATTAGGCAGCTCAAGGGGGTGTGGAACAAGCGCCCTCTAACCCGGACTCGCCCTAGACACTTAATAGTCTCCATGGTTTCTTCTATCTGGGCTATTTCCACTTCTTCTGGAACCAGAACCAAGAGTGCTTTAGCTTCCTCCAAACCTTCACCCCGACACCACCTCTTCAGCTCTGCAGCAAGCCCGGTGTGGTCTACCAT